TATCTCATTCTATGTGTGACTCAATTTATATTTGATTTTAACCCTTAAATATTGTGGCTCTTAGTTATGTAGAAGAGAAAGTGAAGAAATAAAGAAATTAATAAGCTAAGTGAGAAGTGTTCAAGAAATTTAGTAGAATTTTTTGGATCAACAACTCATCAACAAAATTTTTTGAATTAAGAGCTATCAACTCTCTAATTCATTTGTGTTTTAATATTAATCAAGTTAATATATTTAAGCGTAATTTTTTCTCTTCTCTTGCACCTTATATTAAAACAGCTAAAAAATAAAGGAGGCAAAGAACAAAAAAATTTTGAAAAATAAATTATTAGTATAATGAATGTATGGATGTGTTTAACTTCAATCTATCTTTCTAAAAAAATAAGAAACATGATTATACATAAATTTCTAACTATCTAAATAATCAAAAAAATTTCCTTAACTTTTGTTTTCAAAGCTTTTAAGTATATAAAAAGCCTTAAAAAATGTATAAATACTTGGGATGCGTTAATTGCCTTAGTAGGCATTTGTAAACAAAATATTTAAGATTACTTAAATCTAAAGAAACATGTGCATTAATATTTAATATTGTGAATTAATGTTTATAATTTTACAAAACAAAATAGTAAATTTTTTTACCAATATTAAGGATTGAACGCAACCCTATTATTTGAAGATAATATAACTTTTTAAGTATTTATACTTTTGTTTATTATTTTTCCTCCTCATCCAACTAATTTTAGATAAATTGATTTTGTCATTCATAAAAATTTAACCATTTATATGTTTACTAAAATTATTTTTTAATTGGAAGAGTTGAGTACAAAAAGAAGAAAAAAGGAGGTAAAGAAGTTAAGTATAAAGATAAGAATTTTTTTTTAAAGAAAATTGACTTAATTTTTTATTATTTTTATATTTTTTAAGCAAATTTATTTCACTTAAAAAAATTAAATTATTCAATTTTTTTGCCACATAAAATATTTAGATTTTTTTTACAATTATACACTTTTATTTTGAGTTATGTGTCGTTATTATGACATTACCGACTTCAGCTATGTAGGAGTGTTAAAACAAACTAGTCCAAACCTGTCTCGTTTAAAAATGGACTAATTTTTCTAGCCTGCCTAATTTAAGAATGGGCTGGCAAGCTAACAGGCCAGTCTGCCAAAAAATAAAAAAAAGTTAGTAGTCCATTAAATTAATCGCTAATCCACTAAAAAATAAAATAAAAATAAAAAAATTATAATAAATAATAAAAAATATTTAAAATATTCATAAAATAATATTTTATTAATATTTATTTTTTAAAAAATAAATTTTGAACCTAACGGGCCAACGGGCCAACTTGTCCCGACCCGTATTTTAGCGGGCTAAAATGGAATAGACTAATGGATCACAACATTCAACTCGACCCGTCAGATTAGGTCCATTTTGCCAACCCTATAGCTATGCGACGCTACTCATGATATTAGGATTTTTAATAAATAAACGGCCTTTGTTTGTGTTATGTAAGAAAAAAGTTAAATAAATAAATCAACTTGGAATAAAAGCTCTTGTTTTCGTGGCTCATGATTTGCCCTATGCAAATCTGGGTCACTTTTGTTCTAATGACAGTTGTGGCTTTGGATTTTGGTGAATTTGACTTTTAGCTTGCATTTCGTTCCACGATTTTAGGATTTGTAAGTAAAAATAAAATAAAATACATGTGTAAATTAAGCATAACCTGCATCCTATTTACACTCTTTGGGGCAAAAAAGGAGGTGGCCTCAAAAGTGAAACATAACTAAAACAAAAGAAGACTAAATCGGAAGAAAAAAAAAACAAAACATAAACTGAAAGTAGTCAAAAGAAGACAAAGACAATGATAAAAAGATGAAAAACAAAAAAGGTGTCCTCATTATCATAAAAATTGATTGTGTAGTCGAAAATTATGTGATCTCGACTACTCACAGAACATACAAAAATTTGTCCTGTGTTACAGTTTCCATACCCTTGTCCTTGACTCTGGGTTGTACATTTTGTTTTGTCGTTTCTTCTGTCGCACTTGTATTTTGGTTGTTGTCCGTAGTTTTCACACAACCCATAAACCACAAAGCGAAGGCCCAAAGTTGTGCACATCAGAGAGAGCCCCAAGAGCTTCAAATCTCACTCTACCATTAGGATCTGCTTCAAAATTATCAACCATTACTGGTGTTGGAGCTGGTAGGCCATGTCTTTGGCTAAGAATAAGTATCTCACGACAACAATAACAAATGAGAAATTGGACCTATAAACAAATAAGAACCAGTGAGGAATAGAATGTGACGAAAAAATTGGATAAAATTGTTGTGAAGAAAATTAAAAGATTGGTTGAAAAAAAAACTTAGTTGAAAGATTAATAAATGAGATAAGAAAATATACTCTTTACCTTATTTACAATTATATTACAAAGAATAGATTCAAAATTTTGTAACTTTTAATATCCCTTTCCTCTTTAATTTTTGAAACAAAACTATGCCTTCGTAAAAAAATTTTAATCTCCTTTAGTTAAATCCTTTTGTTATACATTTTCAAAACTCTCAGATGTACCAACCTAATTTCCATTTTTAAACATTCTCTTTTTCGTCATTTTTCATCATCCTAATACAATTCATTTTCACATTATGAACTGCCTTAAGTCTTTTATATAAATATTTATACAAAGAAGAAAATAAAAAGAATCATATATTAAAAATAATTTATGCCACTTAATTTAAAATAAAAAACAAACTTCCAAAAATTATTGGAATGTAAACTAACTTTAATTTATGAGAGTAAATAAATTATTTCCATGCATCTTCAAATCCTCTACATAAATGATCCACTTCACAACTAGCCTCTTATTTTAGAAGCATTTGTGTTCAAATATTAACCTAAAGGTATGTTTTCTTTCTACTTATCCTTCTGGGGACCACTGCAACTTACTTTGATCTGAACCTCTGCTCAAAAGTGATTATTCAAGTGACGAGTCTTTTTCTGGGTCCTAAAAGTATGAATCATGTTATCATAAATGTAAATTCATTATTTTCTATTTGTAATTATAATATGATATATATATATATAGGACAGAATTTTTTTACACGTCTAAAAATTTTACACTTAGTTTAAGTTTTTTATTTAACTTAAATCTAACGATCAATAAAATAATAAATTATAACCTATTAAATTTAAATTAAATAAAAAACTTAAATTAGATGTAAAAACTTTTAATACAATAACTAAAATTTGATTTTTACAGTTGACTCTCTTTAGTGTAATAAGACTTAATTTTAGTGGTTATTGTATTATACAGATTGTATAAAGTTATGATTTTTTACATGTAATGTTAATTAATTATTAATAATGTTTGATAAAAAAATATATATATATATATTATTAACATATTAAATAATAAAAATAATATTATAGATTATACGATTCTAATATAATAATTAACTATTAGATTATATATAAAAAATATTTTACTATCATACTTTAACTTTTAGTTTTTTATTTGCTCGGTAAAAAAACCTAAGACATTTTTTTTTTACTAAAATAAATGTATACACGTTGTGATTGAATATTTTTAAAAAAATAATATTTAAAATATAAGATGTACTATATCATAATAAAAAAAAGAAAGTATATGTTATTTAAGAGTCACCATATTCTATTTACCTATATGCTATCCCTCAAAGAGTGTAGTACATTCTTATTTTTTGCTTGATACAAATGGGTAGATTATAGTAACAAATGCATGCCTTCTAAAAGCATATTTCTTTATTTTAGCCTTCCAAATATGATTGAAAGTAGTGTGATGTGCATGCTCTGCCCAATACATATCAACCATTTATAGCCAACCTTAGTAGAGTTAGTATCCTTGATATAGGTCAATTTTAACAGTAGCCTTTGTAATATATATATATATATAAAATATTTTTTTAAATAAATATATAATATAGATTAAATTATTTGAAAATTTTATTTTTTTTAAAATTTAATTTAATTTAGTTTTATTATTATATATAATATATTAAAATGATAAAAGTTTAATAAAATTACAATAATTTAAAATAAATTTTTAAAAATAATATATTATAATTTTTTTATACATAAAGATATATTTTAAAAAATTGAAAGTCTATATAGAGTAATAAAAAAATATAAATGCAAATATGGATATTCATTAAATAAAAAAGTAAGCAATAAATAAAATTATTGTAACGAAAAATAATGTAATTTATATATTGTTTTAAAATATTTTTATTTTAAAAATTACATACGATAAACTATTGAAAAAAAGTAACTTCATTTAATGTCAAGTTAAAAGACAGTTATAAATATGCTATTAATAAACTTGGAATAAAAACACTAATTTGGAATACGTATTTAAAGCAAGTTAAAAGGCAGTACTTGCAATTATTATAATATTATCATTTAAAACTGTATATACTAACTTAGTTATTACTATTTTAAATGATATTATGACTATATATATATATATATATATATATATATATATTCAATAACATATAATTAAATAAAAATATATAAAAACAAATAAAATAATAGTTGAAATTGAAAATTAGTTTTACAATTTAAAATAGACATACAATAAATAATAATATTTTATTTTATTTATTAATTCAATAATATATATAACATGCTTTAATAAAATTATAAGATTTAGATTAATTTATTTAATCATATTTAATAATTTAAAATTTAATTCATTAAAATTATTTCAACTCAACTTTAAACGAATATTTCTTATATTGTATTATCATCAAACATTTGTAAAATACAAATATGTCTGAAAATTATTTAAGAATAAGTTCATTAATTTTAATTCTTAAAATTTATTTTAAACGTTTAATAACATATTTTTAATAAAAATCATTATATAAAATATAAAAAATAAATTTTTATTATTAAAAATTTAAAGTTCGTAAAAATTGACGTTCACATTTTACTCTAAAAGAAAAAAAGATTTATGAGGAAGAATATTTAATGTTTTCTCATGAGTTTGTAGGGCCCATCTTTTTCGGTGCTCTGTTTGATTCCTACCCATCGTTCATTTCACCGTTTGCTGTTGAGTGACGAATGCCTCTCCACTCTGTTCAGAACCACACTACTCACCGCTCCATTCAGCACTAAATACCTCTGCTTCTAGAACCTTCGCAACCGTTTCAGTCAACGCCACTCGGTACCCTCTCTCTCTCTCTCTCTTTCAATCTCCACATCCCAATCGCATGTTTCTTCGTTGGTGTTAATGTCGTTCATGAAGACGATGTTGTCGGTTCTTTGTTTGATTTCGCTTATCAATGTGCCTTTTTCTATTTTCTTTTTAATTTTATTTTCTTGTTTTTATACATTTTTATTCTTGGTATTTCTCATTGTTTTAGGTTTCAACTGCAACACAAATTGCATGTCATGTGTTTTTTGTTTAACTATTTTATGCTTCAAATTTATGTTCTTTTTTGTTGATCATTATTATTTTTTGGTTGTTGGAGATTGACAACAGAGAAAAGCATGGGAATAGGGAGATATGAAAGGTAGCATGCATAAGCATAGTGAGTATCATTGAGTGGAGAAGATTGAATTTAGGTTTATGATAGAAAGGATGGATGATGAAGCTCGTGGTGATTCTTTCTGGTTAGGGGAAATTAATGGGAAGGTTCAAACCCCCACGAGAAAGAAAAGGAAATACAGAACAAAGAAGAAGGAATATGATGGGTGGGGATCGGTTTCACTTATTCAGTTTCTTAAATCGATTGGTAGAGATACAAGCACCATGACAGATCAAAGTGAGGTTGCCAAAATTATAAATGATTATGTTAAGCAGAATGATCTTTTTCATCCTACGAAAAAGAAACGAATTGTGTGTGATGAGAGACTTCATTTGCTGTTTGGAAGGAAGACCATTAGCCGGTTGAAAATCAATGACTTGCTCGAGTCACACTTTGCGGAGAATTGTGAAGAATCTTCTGATGATATGTTGTTTGACAACTTTGACTCGGATGAAGATGAGAATGCCTTGGCAACTTGTGAGACCCCCAGAACAGCAACTCTGGAGAGAAAGAGTCAACCAAGGAAAACGGTTATTAAAAAACCAACGAGCTGTTTTGCTGCCATCGTTCCTTCCAACATCAAGCTTGTTTATCTGAAGAGGAGTCTAGTTGAGGAACTTTTGAAAGACCCTGAAAGTTTTGAGACTAAAGTAGTGGGAAGCTTCATAAGAATCAGATGCGATCCCAATGATTACCTTCAGAAAAACTCACACCAGCTTTTGCAAGTCACAGGTAATTTGGCTGCTGTAGGTTGATTATGACATTGCATTCTACTAAATGCTCCTTTATTATTACTGACTGCTTAAGTTTAATACTTATGTTTGTCAGAAGCAGAAGCAAGAAACTTGAAAGCAAACTCAAATGTATTTATGTATTTTTTTTTATACATCATTAGTTTAAGTCATGTGTTTGATGAACCAGCAAAGTAGTCAAATTAGTGCTGATTGAATGATTTGGACTAGTCACAATGAATGATAATGAACAAAATTATCTGATCCAATAATATCCTGTCGGTTGGGATTCTCATCGATGAAGCAAACCACGATGTGCTTCCTAAAAGGAATGGTTTGGACTATTTGCAATGAGTGACGACAAACAAAACAATCTAATCCAATACTCTGATGCTGGGTGGGATTCAAATAACTGAAAAAAAATTGTACTTATCGTGTACATGTCACTTAATATAGGTCACTTGTCAGTTATTATTCATCCTAACTGAATTGTGGTTTAGACTATTCACAATGAAGGACGGTGAACAAACAATTAACTTTCTATGGGCTCCTTCCAGGAGTTATTTCCCAAAGTGTTATGTAGTTATTTATTTATGAATTTGGCAAGCCAATGGAAAATTGAATATGACATATATAGAAAATTTTGACAATGAGATTTATTTCTTCTAATCATATTTATTATAATCTTATTATTCATGATTAGAATTGCATGATTCAATATGATTGACTTGCCATGTCATGTAATGGATCGTAGATGATTTGAATCTTATGAGTTATGATACATGAATGAATTGGTGTGATTCCATATCATTAATATGAATTGCATGATTCAACAATTCGTTGTTTTTTCATTTTCTACCATACTCTTACCATTTCTTATCAAAGATATTGCAAAGTTGGATAAGTTTAAATTGTTAAAGGAATAGGAACCAAAGGCATACACTGTCATCATGCTATACAATGTATCTGGCTATTTAATTGCTCTATTTTTAGTCTCTAAAATAAAAGCTCCACAAACACAATTATGACTTCTAATTTCTTTCATGTGACATGATTTATATGATATATTTCAAGCTATTTTTGTCATGTCTTTGACTCTTATGATTTGATATGATTCATGATTCAAAAATTAGCTTAACGATTCACAATTTGAATTGCAATTTGATAACCTTGCTTCTTGTTAGTTAAAATACAGTTCTTTCTGGGCTTTCATTCAGGTATAAAGAAGAGCTCTGAAGCAAATGGGGAAATTCACTTTCAAGCTTCTGGTTTCATTAAAGACATCAGGATTCAAATGCTTTCAGACGACAATTTCTCTGAGGTACAGTAAATTTATCTTGCTATTTTTAGCTTTATTTAGAAAAAATAGTAGACTGCCATTGAGGGTTAACTCAACTAGTAGCATCAAATTGCATTGATTCGAAGGTATTGGGCCTGATTCATGCCATTGATCCCTCACTGATAAATCATTTGTACTGTAAGTACCATTTTAAACAGTTTGTGCCATGCCCTGAACTTGGAATGGGGTGACTTCTCCTTCCCATTAATTTTCATGTACCCCACAAAAAAATTGCTAACTCTGGCACATTAAAATCAAGACACATTATCTTTATTGATATGATATATCAAAATTTAAAATTTTAAAACTAAATTCAAGTTAAGATTGGTTAAGATCATAATAATTTTAAATGTTTGTTTATCTAAAAAAGGATATCTTTACTTTGATACATTGTATGTATCAAGATTTACGATTTCAATCAAATTAAAATTGAAATTAAATTTAAGAAATAGTATTTGAAAGGAACAAAAAATGAATGTTCAGAAGCCATTTGGCTTAGTCAAGATAAGAGTAGCTCCTAGAAATGCTATTTTTCAAGAATTAGGGCTTGAATTTATAATATAGGGGTGGATTTGCTTTACTGACTAAAATAATTCTAATAAATGCTGACAAATTAATAGCATACTTTTGCATGAGAATCACAACTTTGTGTGACTGCTTTATACTATCTTCTCAGTGAGATTTATCATGTTCAAAAACTTTCTGCCTTCCTTATCTGTATAGTTCTGCCTTTATATTTTTGGGTTTGAGATTGTGAGACTTTGGTTGCAGGAGGAGTGTGAGTATTTGCATCAGAGAGTAAAAGATGGCATGCTCAAGAGACCAATGATCGTAAGCTCTTTTTAGCATTTTAATTATTCTAAAATAGAAAAATTCCTGCAAACACTAGAACAATCCACTTCCTTAAACAGTGAACTGTAAGGAATAAAGAGCCAGTGTATTCTTTATTCATGAAGCCTATTTTATTTTAAATGCTGTGTCTGATGCTTTAAGAATCCGACTAATGTGACATTTTTTTATGCATGGTAGGTGGACATAGAGAAGATGGTAATAGTATTGCATGAGGATATGACTAAGCATGTATGTACTGAACTGTTGTTGAACCTAGTGTCTTCATTGCTTTATTTATGTTTCTGTTCATGATTTTCTCAGTTTGTCAAGCTAATTTTTGAATCATGAATTATAAATTCTGACAAATTGTAAGTTTTAGGGGCACAGTGTTAAAATAGCTTGAAATATATTATAAATGATATATAGTTCTCAATTTGATAATTTTAAACAAGAAATTGACAAAATAACTCAACCACAAGTCTCACCAAACCAAATTGTAAGTCATAATTGAGTGTGTGAAGCTTCTATTTCAGAAGAATGGAAATAGAGCAGTGGAATGTCATCTACTTCATCCGTGTACACAACCCTAACTAGCCTAGGTTTGGTAATAGATTATTTTTAGGAAAAAAAAAAGTTTTTTCTTCAAAAGCTCTCTCAAGAAGCTGTTAAATAAGCAATTATTTCTCCAAAATAAGTTGAACCAAATGCACCCCTGATGGGAAAAGACATGGTTATTGTTGTATACTATAAGAAGGCAGCTGGAGTCATTTCTCGGGCATTCCCACTTTTTACTCCACGTTCTGGAATCTGCATATATTGATCGTATTTTGTTGTAATATGTAATCAGCACTAAGTCTATATGCTTAATGCACCAGGAAAAGCCAAAATTTAGTTCTATAGCTTCATGCCATGATTTATCTATTGTTGTTGTCTATTCTCAGAACTTTGCAATGCTCCTGGCTAGCTATACTCTATGGCAAATTAGATCAGCATTGATAATAATTTCATTTGCATGCTCTCGTTTGATCGACCAGTTACTAGCACTGGCTCTTCCATTAATAGAAATTGTCATTCAGTGTCACATTCTATAAAGTACTCTTGGGAATAAAGAAAACTTTTGAATTTAAGTATTTGACATTTAAAACACTATTTATAGTGTTTATGCATCCTAATCATACCTGTGTGTACATTTAAAGTTAAAACTAAATATGTGTTGTACATGCTTGTTTCAAATACAAAATTCTATTTACCCTTCTTATATTTCGGCTTTACTTTTCCCGACTTTCCTGCTTTTTTGTTATGTGGTGAATTTGTTTTAGTGGCTCACAAGAGAATTCACGCTGTTACAAAACCTTATTGATCGAGCAAATGAAAAGGGTTGGCGTAGAGAATATCCTTTTCAGATATTTAATAAATGATGACATTTTCAATATTGTGATTATTTCTCCCTATTCATTGTTTGTTCAGAAGATGTAAACATCTGCTGAGCCTAGTTAACACATTACATTACTCTCATTACACAACTAAATTTGTTCTCTAGTAGGTACTTAATCGATTGTTAACTGTACTGTTTGTCATAAATAAAAGTCATTGACTGTTTATGGCAATCAATTTATACATAGTTCACCCAGGACAACTTCACGATCCTTGATTGTTTTTATTTCATATTTTATTTATTTACTTATTTTTGCAAATGATGATACTGGTATGATGATCATTCAAATAATAAATAAATAAAATCTGTTCCTGTCATTGTTTTCCAGGCCACTAAAAATATTTTGGACGCTAGTTGATCACCTAATTGATTTGAGCCATCAAATCAATTCTTTTCAGTCCTTACATGGTTCATCTGACAGTTGTATAATTATTTAATTTGTCTATTTCCTGCATTAATTCTCAGTGTCATATTGTTGGATAATTTTTAGGGTGAGGGTCTATTTCTTCAAAACCACATCACAAACTTGGAGTAATGAACATTAATCTGTCCACATACTCCTGTATAAGAAAGCAGTCAATTGTAGCAATGAGCATTTTGCATTAGGATTCTGTCTGATCATTGTGAGTCTTATGCTATATGCTTTGTTTAGTGATCTTTTAAAAGTCAAAATCTGTAAAAGATTTTCCATAAAATAGAGGTTCCTTAATCAATTGGAAATACACTAGATGAGTACCTACGGAGAAGGGAGAAGCTTCAGAGTCCAGAAGAACAGGAACGGTTATTGCGTGAAATTCCTGAAGTCATTGCAGAAGATGAAGATGAAGAATCTACAACACCGGATGTTCAAGATAAAAAGGTAGAAAACAATATACTGGAGTTTTGGCAGGCTACCTGTACAAAAACATCTGTTATGACTGAGGTCCCAAAAGCAATTGCAAATGATTTGGCATGCAAGGCTACAAAACTGGATATTACCGCTGATGCAGTAAAACAAGAAAGCAATTCACCAAAGTCAATTCTCAGCCTCAGTAGAGTATCAGAAGTTCCTCTTTTCAATATGACAAAAAATAGCTCTATGTTGAATTGCATCTCTGGTGACACTGTTGCAGGTTTGTTATAAACATTCCATGATTCTCACTTTTAATAATGTAAGCCTGTTTTTTGTCAGTGAATGCACTCGATGGTAATAGTGCAGTATGTTTTGTTTGGTGGGGAGGGTGCTGCATTTATTCATTATATACCTCAAAAGCACTGATGACAAGCCATGGAAAGAGCTTTACTGAGAAGATAATGAGCATTCTCCAACCAAAGACAAACTGCATAGCATAGAAATCATACTGCAATAACAGTTTTTTAACCTTACCTGCCAAAGCCTCCAAACTTGATGAAAAGAAATGCTCCGAGTTCTGTGGGCATCCCAATGCATAGGCAGAATTAGATTCTTTTGCGTCAAAGACCTTTTTTCTTCAACTTTCTATGAAAGCTTTTGAAAAAATTAAAAAGATTATTTCCCTTGAGAAAAACATTTCTAACTATGCACTTAGTCATAACCTCCCTTCTACATTCCACAATAGTTTCTAAAAGATTAGCCATAACAAGAGTATATAAACAGCTGTTTCCTTGTACTTTTTAATCAGATTAGTGTTGTTTTCCAATTTGAATTTATGTAGGGGGCACTTCATTTCTAGGATTAGATTTTTCTGTCTTTTCATATTAATGATGTCTTTCCCAGTTTCCAACTCCATCCTATTTGTCCTTTTCCATTAATGCCATTTTTCACTTTCCTTAAAAAATTTAAGGACCTATTTGTTTCAAAGTTGAGTAGAATTGATTTTGATAGAATAAATTTTGAACCATTGAAAGCAATTTGAATATGTGCCAGAGTTGATCTTAGCCATAGATTTTTATTGAAGTGTCTTTTATTGGAAAGCTTGAGAATTGGCTTTTGAACATGAAACCAAAAAGCACTAACTTGTTTGCATAGAATTAGTTCAGTATATTTATTCCACTTAGAATTGATTAAATCACACCCTATTAATTATCCTTTCTTCATTTGATGCTTTGTTTTAGTTTCTGTCATTGCTAAAGTGCTATGCCCATAAACCATATAATTTTCATTATAAGCATTATTTAGTATCTCTAATTCTGTAAACAACGATTTTCCTGTATACTATGCTGCAATCAAATTTGCTATGAACCTCAAGATAATGTATTAGTTTGCCCATTATAGTTTTTCTTTTTTTTTTTCTTTTTTTTTAATTTTACAATATTTTTCTCTCTTAATGGGTGTCAACTTACACATCTAAGCCTATTCTAATGTCATGCCATTGATGTTCTTGGCATGTTTTGGCAGAGCATCAATCATCTTGCTTATCTGTTCAGCAGCAGCCAGAGCCACAAACATACTTTGCATGTAAGAATGATGACATATCTAAGCCAGGCGAATCAAACGAAGCTAAGATCTCTCAAGGACTGCCTGACAATCAGATACAGCCATCTCAGATTCAGGTTATAGACCTAAGCGATGATGATGACAATGACGAGGATAAAGAAAAACCAATTACTTCAAAACAGGTTCCTGCTGAGCAGTTGGATTCCTTGATGTGGCATTACAGAGATCCACAGGGAAATGTACAAGGACCATTTTCCTTATCTTCTCTAAAACGGTGGAGTGATGCTGGTTACTTCACTCCAGATTTCAAGGTCTGGAAGTTAGGTCAAAGCCAGGTTGAAGGTGTATTTTTGGTGGATATACTACCCCAATTTTTCCCCATTCGATCAAATTGCAAATGATGCCTTACAAATCGAGGTGAATAATTCTGCTAGATTCTTAGGCAACCGCCAACCTACAACTTGTAACTGTAACTAGGAGCTCATGATCTCTAATTGAATCATTTGTCCTCCCTCTTTTGTCTACCTCTTTATCTTGTTAAGATGAACTGTTAATATTGTATCATTCATGCATGATCCATCCAAATTTTAGATTGTTTGGAGAAAAGTTGTGCTGTGTTACAATGCTCCAAATAAGGTTGTTATGGTTGTCCAAGCGGGAGATTGTGCGGGCTATAGTGAAAAGATAAATACAAACACTTTTTTGTACACTTTGTAATTAGTCCTTTTTTTAAAATGTCAAAGCACTTGGCTCATAAATTTTTGACATTTTACAGAAAAGAACAATCGCAAAAAGTGATGAAAAATGTACTCAAAAGGATTGTTTGCATTCCCCAATAGTGAAAATATCAACTTGGCAAGGAGGTTGATTCAGTAGACATGGCTCTACAACACTTGGAGAGCATTGTCAATAAGCAGACACGAGATGTTCTCAAGCTTTGGATTACATACAACCTGGTACCAATATGTAAATTTACAACAATTGTTCCCAACACCGCTTTAGGATTCTTGCTCCCTCCTTGTGTGGTTGATACAAGCTGCTCCCTGTTGGATAGGGAAGATTAGGGATGGGGATGGGGTACCTAAAATGGGATTTTCAATCTTAGTGCATGTTTGGGAATTTTTTGTTTTTTATAAATAATTGTTTATTTTTCAAAGGTTCTTTCAGAACTTTTTAAAATAAAGTATTAATTTTTCAAAATAAACTAAATCAAACGCACACTTAAGTGTGTAATTTTTCGTTTGGAAACTTTCAGATTCATGTTAATTTATCCAAACTATGGTTTTGAGGTTTCCCATTGGATTTTGTGATGAGGGTCGAGATTAAGATCTTGAGGCATAAATAATGATTACGCTGCGGCATATTATCTGGGAAGTGGAGGTGGACTTATCGGGTTTATGTAGTAGCTTAGCAATCTATTGGACCGGAAAATCCATGGGATGGTTAAAGCCCAATACCAACCACTAGCCTTTCCATTAATTGGGCTGAAGGCCTCTTGGGAGAACAACTAACTCTCATAATTTGTTTAAGCAAAAATTACTGTTGAAACAAATATATATAATTACTTATTTGTGTTTTGTAGAGTAAAAAATAAAAAGCAAAACTCGTAACTCTCGTTTACTTGGCTATCTAAAAGAATTTATGATGAATAAATAAGACTCAAATTTCGGATGTTTAATAAAATTTGATTTATACTTTTTTTTCATATTATATAAATCTCTCTTAATTTATGCAATAACGTAGCACTGTATATCCTTATTACACATGCTACTTCTAATTTCTTATATATTTACACTAATAAAATAATATAAAAAATATATTAAACAAAATTTTATTGAATTTTAATAACTGTGAACATAATTTACCTTTGTAGGATTGAGTTATTGTCATTAACCGATTATATCTAATTTTTTGTACGTGGGTCTGGAGGGAGTCACTTCAGCTTGAGTGATCTTATTATTTGTGCTCATTTTAGAATAAGACACTCTTAGTACACTTTTAATTCACCGATGTGAAACTTATATCCCAATATATATATATATATATATATATATATATATATATATTGCATTAAAATTATATTATATATATTAATTATAAAAAGGTTTATTTTTAATAAAAAAATAATTTTTTCAACTCACTTTAATATTTTTTCTTAAAACTAATTCTACCAAAATGCTATTTATGAAAGTCAAATTAATTCACACAGTGCATGTTTATTACGTCAAAATATCAATTCTGGACTAAATTGTCAATGAAAAAGCATTTTAAAGTTCAATTTTTAATATTAGAGACATATCTCATAGTCATACAATAATTCTCATGAAGTTATAAGATATAAAGGACTAGGAACAATTAAATTGGTTAGCATCTTTATCTTTGAAAAAAATTGAAATGTAAAATACTCTATTCAGCAAAAATGCTATTTAGTTTTGTTTCTTCTGTCTTCTATTCATAACCAAATGATTTAAAATTCAAAAATAAAAAGTGAAATATTTTTTCAAAAATGCTAACAATGAGATTCTTTCTATACCGTTTATTACCCAGTAATCACAAGCAGTGTATTTCATTTAATATAAAAAACAATACAAAAATAAAAATGTTGAATTTTGAGTAAATTAATTAATTAAAGATTAAAGCATTTGAAATTTTAAAAACTTTCTGCTTGCCAAAAAATGTTGCCCAGTTTTATTTCTCCTCTTTTTCCTATACTCTTCACCAAATAATAATAATAATAATAATTTGAAAATTAAAACTAAAAATAAATAAATAAATAAATAATATGGCAGTGGTCGAGGGTTTTTCTAGCACATTTTGGCGGAAAAGCCTGAGCAAGGTCTCTCTGTTACTGATTGCTAAACCCTTTCTTATATTATACACACTTCTCGAAACCCATCGTTTCTCTGTGCCCTAGCGCCCCTTCCGCCACCGCCAGCCACCGTTGCCATCGCCATCGATCGAACATTCTCCGCCCAACTTCAGGTAACTACCATTCTCCTTTCTGATCTGTTACCACTCGAGCCGTCATTCACTGCATCGCCACCCTCCCAGTGCACCTAGGGTTTTTCATTTTTTTTTCCTTTGGATTTATTGTTAATATCTTCGTTCTGCGCGTTTTCTTCATTCGGAAAAAGCTTGAATCTAGCGCGTTTTGTTTGAGCAAAACTGTTTTGTTGCAGTGTTTGAGTTTAAATAACTTGCTTCTGTTTGAAAAATGTGAATTGAAACTCTAATTTTCGTCAGCATCTTCAGGAGCAACTTCTCTGTTACTGGATTTAGTTTTTGCGTGTGAAGAAATCTCGGAATATTTTGAATCCAAGAAATCATGCACGCGCCAGTTCTAGTTCTCAGTAAGTTCTTTGCTCGAGTTTCTTCTTTTTCTTCTTCATTTTTAATTGATCACAATTTTTTTCTTTTGTTTATTTTTCGCTTTTTATTGAATTTAAATGGTTTCCTATTCGGTTTGTGTTCTTCAATTTTATTTTGCAGAGGACTCTTTGAAACGAGAGTCTGGAACCAAGGTACACCATGCCAATATTCAGGCGTCGAAGGTAAACACATTACAAATTACCAACTAACTAGCAACTACTAGTGTTCATTTGGTGTTTCTAACCTACTATGTTTGATGACTGTCAGGCTGTTGCTGACATAATCCGTACAACGTTGGGGCCCAGGTCCATGCTAAAAATGCTTCTTGATGCTGCGGGAGGTTAGTGTTTTCATTTTGTACGACTTGTTGCGACTCTTTTTAGTTTGGTGAGAAGGGTGTACATAGTTTTTAAGCTAAGACACAAATATTTGTTTTCACCTTTAGTAAGATGATTCTTTTTATAATTATTTTTTTTCTAATGGATGATGTGTCTACCATGAAGGCTCTGTTGTGCAGATTGTGTTTCTAAGTATTTATTGAGGCCCATTACTTTTCCTTGTAAATTATCAGGAATTGTGGTTACTAATGATGGAAATGCTATCTTACGTGAATTAGACCTTGCTCATCCAGCTGCAAAGGTATATGTCACTTTTGCTTCACTTCATTGATATTGTTTTGTCATGCATTATACATACTACTGTATACTGCTCTGCAGACCATGTCTTTTGAAAGCATTACCTTTTGTGAATTTCAGAGGTTTAGTTTCTCTTTGTTATGAAACTTTCTAATTCTGTTCTCATGTTCGATGTATACAGTCTATGATTGAATTAAGTCGCACCCAAGACGAAGAAGTAGGAGATGGAACAACATCTGTCATCATTCTTGGTATGTTTCTGCATGATTTAATAACAAATTCTTGATTTTTTTTGTATTGTATACTGAATGGAGGATCAGATCTTTTGTTGAGTTACTTGGCAGCATGTTGTCTTCTTGCCATTTTCAATATCTTGCATTTTGAGTGCAGCTGGTGAGATGCTCCACGTAGCCGAAGCATTCATTGACAAAAACTATCACCCTACAGTTATTTGCCGAGGTAACTTAATAGTGTTAGTCAGTGGTTCTTTCCAAAAAGGGTATAAATTGTATATAATGATTGTGACACTTTTATAATCTGCAGCATATAACAAAGCTTTAGAGGATGCTATTGCTGTTCTTGACAAAATTGCAATGTCTATTGATGCTCAGGATCGTAAGTTTCAATACTGGTTTAGTTCGTCTTTATGTTAAGACTAAAAAATTACTTCCTCTCGGCTCTCAGTAATAGGCTGAAGTCTACAGTGTGCTGAACCTTTTCAGTTCTGTAGACTATACTCCTATTGTTTGTGGAACCAGTGCCCTATTGGAACTGAGTTTAGTGTTGAATCTCCTAGTAATTTATAGTAACTGAGTAATGTGCAGAAACAATACATGATTGCTCCATTTAATTACTGCTTGACAAATAATCTTAATGCTATTATGAATCAAACTGCAGGAGCTACAATGCTGGGGCTAGTAAAAAGCTGCATAGGTACCAAATTCACAGGTCAATTTGGTGATTTAATTGCTGTGAGTATCCTTTTTCTCTTGTGCCAGGTTTTTAATTGATATTCTTTGTTCTTTTATGTTATTGCTTCGCTGTATGTTTTTTCTAGCATTTCATAAAATCCTTCTACTACCCAAAGTCAAGATGTGGATCAGGTTCTAGATTGTGCATATAACTTACCAAAATGTGGTTGTGTACTATGGGAGAAATGAAAAATCAGCAGGCCAGAATTAGTAGTAGGGGTGGTTATCTGGTAGGACAGCTTTGTAGCAGTTATTTATTTATGTGTTGTAGTTAAAGGAAGGGTGTGTCTGATATGTATGGTGTGTTGTTCTGTTGTCGAAGGCTGAGAAATGTTTTATCATAGGGGAGCCTTGGCTACTAGTAGGGAAATTTGTCTACCGGACATGAGTATTTGTGTACTCTGTTGAAGTTAATAAAGTTTCTGTTTTAAACCCTACCATCCTACGTAAAGGAGACCTAGTCTTTGGAGTGTTACTGATGGGGATGGTGTCTGACGGCTAAATATAGTGATGTTAGCTGTCATCTATGCTGTAGTTTTTTACAAAAGCATGAGGAGTTATTTTGATAAGTACAATTTGGGTGTTCATGATGCATGACGTGTCTGGCATTCAGACAAATGTGTTTATGTTTTATGCATAAATTAGATGGACCACTGGAATTAGGTGATTCATCTATGAATTTATCACACTAATATATCTTCTCCTTTAAAATTTCATGGATAAGCAAATAGCTTCATAATAATCTCATTTTATTTTAGCTCTTGGTCTTCAGTTTTGTTGTTTTCTGTTTTGAGTGAACAGGATTAGAACCTGATGATGCTACTTGACTGTTGGTAATTTGTTTTAGCCATTTGAAATTGCATAGCATTCTAGATCCATTGAATTATGTATCATATATTCTACCTTGGCTACTTCCAGGATTTAGCTATTGATGCTACTACAACAGTAGGTGTTGACATTGGCCAAGGTTTGAGAGATGTAGATATAAAAAATTATATCAAGGTTGAGAAGGTTCCTGGTGGGCAGCTGGAGGATTCAAGTGTTCTCAACGGAGTTATGATAAACAAAGATGTGGTTGCCCCAGGCAAAATGAGGAGAAAGATTGTTAACCCACGTATCATTCTTCTTGATTGTCCCCTTGAGTATAAAAAGGGTGAGAACCAGACAAATGCCGAACTGCTCAAAGAAGAAGACTGGAGTCTATTGTTGAAGATGGAAGAAGAATACATTGAGGAACTCTGTATGCAGATTTTGAAGTTTAAACCGGACTTAGTAGTTACAGAGAAGGGTCTGAGTGATTTGGCTTGCCATTATCTGAGCAAGCATGGTGTAAGTGCAATCAGGAGGCTGAGGAAAACTGATAATAACAGAATCGCTAAGGCATGCGGTGCTGTTATTGTGAACAGACCAGATGAATTGCAGGAGTCTGATGTTGGTACTGGTGCTGGGTTATTTGAGGTTAAGAAAATTGGAGACGAGTACTTTGCATTTATTGTCGATTGCAAAGACCCCAAGGCTTGTACTGTACTATTAAGGGGTGCTAGTAAAGATCTCTTAAATGAAGTTGAAAGAAACCTACAGGTAAGCTATTGACTTGTTTCTAAGGATCAATAGGTTGATCATACTGCTTTCTGAAATTTGTTTTTTTGACAGGATGCCATGTCTGTTGCAAGGAACATAATAAAAAATCCGAAGCTTGTTCCTGGGGGTGGTGCCACAGAGTTGACAGTGTCAGCTGCCTTGAAACAAAAGAGTTCATCCATTGAGGGCATAGAGAAGGTGAGTGTAGTTTCTATGAACCTGTGGATATCAATTCATATTTGGTGGATTCTAGTACTGTCACCTGTCTGGAGTAGCTAGCAGTTTACACTTGGTCTCACTTAGTATTCTTGTGGCTGACAGTGGCCTTACGAAGCTGCTGCCATCGCTTTTGAAGCTATACCACGAACTCTGGCACAAAATTGTGGTGTAAATGTCATCCGGACCATGACTGCACTACAAGGAAAAGTAAGAATAGTTTGCTATTACTTATTGTGTTCAGTCCTTTTTCCAAAGTCTTATCGTGTTTAATGTTGTGTTCTTGAAAATAATAGCACGCAAATGGAGAAAATGCATGGATTGGTATAGATGGAAATACTGGTGTAATCACTGACATGAAGGAGCGGAAGGTACTCTACTTTCATTCTATTCTGTTAAAGATGCATATTGTAAATGGTTCCAGAAATGGCAATTGCTATTTAGCCAACCGTAGTCACATTAGAATTCGAACTAACATTTTTCAGTTATTACCAAACGAGGCAACATGGTGAAGATAATCTGTGTTCATTTCATTGGAGGAATAGTCGTCCACCTTATATTCCATGTGCCCATTACTGACAACCCTCCCCCCGGCCCCTTCTGAAATTATCCTTTGTCTTTTTTTTCAATTTATTTGTACTTACCGTCTTGATAAAGCATATTTGCAGCAACCGGACAAATAAAATGTTTTGTTCTAATGTGATGCTAGATCTGGGATGCCTACAATGTGAAGGCACAAACGTTTAAGACTGCCATTGAAGCTGCTTGCATGCTTCTGAGGATTGATGATATAGTGAGTGGGATCAAGAAGAAGCAAGCCCCTGGAGCAGGCGCAGGTCCTTCAAAACCAAAGGTTGAGACTGAGGCAGATGCTGACAGTGAGCAAATCCTTCCTGACTGAAAATTTAGTTCAACTGACATTGCTTTTTGACAGAGTTGAAGAAGTGTGCTAGGGTCCTTGGGTCTGTTTTAATCTTATCGTTATTCTTAGAAGCTTTGGGTCCTTGATTGAGCTGTTGTTTTGTGCCTTGTACCGTTTGCCAGAGCGAATTGTGAACTTTGATGTTACGACTGGCGTATGCTTTATTGAGTGCTCTTGATCCATTATTTTGAGAAGCTATTCTGGCATTTCATGCTATAATGTTTGATATCGTTTTTCTACATTTTCATCAGATATTATTTGTTTTATTTGAATTATTAATTGAATGAAGTGGTAGTAACTATTGATATATCATTTATCATGAAATTTGCTCGTGTAACTGTTAAATTTATCTGAAATCGATACTATAAAATTGGAAGGTTCGAGTCTTTAAATTTACTTTTAAGTATTTAAAAGTGATAAACTTTTATTCAAAAAAAGTCTTAAAATTATAAAATTATATAATCTTTTAAAAATAAAAAATTACTACTCAGTTTGTTGAACTCATACTTCAGGGCTGATGTAACATTTTCCTTAAATAACAACTCATTTATCTTAGTACCATAAAGATATCTAATGTTCATATTTGTTAAATTAAACGTAGGCAGTAAAAAACATTAATAGGGTGATTTCTTGGAATGATGTCAGTGCTAGAGCTCCAGTTGGATGCTTTTTGTGCTAGTTTCACTTTGTCCAATCAATCGAAATTAATTACTAAAATTAGGTATGTATTAACGAGTATAATAGCATGGTAAAACTAAAGTCTTTTGACAAGTATAAGGATTTAAAGTAACGTCTTTCTTAACCAACGAAAAGGGATATATTAAAAAAGAAATATGCTAGATGTCATAAAAGTTAATGTGAATTTTGTATAAATGTTTGGAAAAACCCAAATTTATTGTACAAGTAAAAACTTATTCCAACTTAAAATAAGTACATATTAGCTGCTCGAAATTTACTTAAAAAAAGTCTTCTTGTCTATGAATGACAGTGTAAAATATTGTGCAAGGTCAAAGGATTTAGGAGTGTAATATGTCGACATAAAAAAGGAGCGCTTATCAAGTCGATGAAGAAAAACGAGTGTCACCACAGGAACCTCCAATTCACACGAAGACATCTAGTACATCAAGGGCGGAACGCATAAGCATTCACTAAGAAATATTATACGATATCAAACTTAATGAAAAGTACAAAATCCATTTTTGGAATGCAAATATGTAAGTTCACACCGCACAATATTAACTATCACCAGAACTTAATAAGATCTTAACAACGAGCAGTGCAATATCTTCTTTTGCCCAAAACAAACACTATTACCACATTTCAGACATAGCTATCGATGAGAGATTTCCTCATCTCATCCACAATGGCACTAGGCTGAGCTTCTCTCAGCTTGAAAACACTCTCAATTACAGAAAGCTCTGTTGCTGTGGTGTCTGAACCACAAAATGCCGTCCAATCATTAACTGTCATTCCAGCAGCTATTACTTCACTGCCCCGGTTTACGGTACCAGCCACCAAAGGAACCTGAAGAAGTGTAGAAAGTTCATCCAAGTCTTCTATGGAAGTATGAGGGTGGACCTGCATCAAGTGAATGGTCAAAAGATAGTATAGACGCCCAAATTATGCATTTCAAAGAAAATTTATTTTACTCACCAAACCACCTCTGTTGGATAAGGCACAGTAACTACCAACAAGAATATTACCAGCAATCGTCTGCCTGAAAACTTCTACTCCAAGAACATCTGCAATCATCTCCTCAGTCTCCTGAACAAAAACATCAAATTGAATACTAGGAGCAAGGCACAATTCACATACCAGAAAACCTTGCAACGTAAATTTTGCATTTCATTTCCAAGAAATTACAGTTTATCAAAAATTTAAGGTGATCAGATTCAGAATTACAAGAGAATGTACGGGATAATTTGTCCATCTCCTTATTCAAGGTCCATCCTTTAACATTAAAATGTAAGTCTCTCATCAATTCAATTTCCAATCTTAGACATGAATAACAGATTAGTACAGGAAAGAAAATCTATAATCTACAATAAGACAATACCCTGTCAAGATCAGTGTGAGTGAGGGCCACATGATCATTACACGCTATACAATTTCCCAGTGCAGATAATCTTTCTTCTATTCGCTGAACAACAACTTGATCAGGTAGACTGTTTCTCAAATGTTGAAGTTCTACAGCAATAATCAAGGAAATAAGATCAAGTACCATGAGTCAGTATATCATAACTGGTATGGAATTATATACCACCAACAAAAATAATATGCAAGATACAAAACGGAAAAACAATACTGTTGTAATTCAGAAAGGAAACCCTCATATCATAGAGAATTAGTAACAACCGAGACATACAAGAGCTGATCAAAACCCAGCAATTTTTTTTTTAAAAAATGCTGAAAGGCTTAGAGATTAGTGTTGATAAAGATTATAGGCTTGCCAACAAATGAACATATTTCAGAATCTTTATTATATTGGCTATTTGGATAGCCACAAGACAACCATCAACCACTCCCTGTCTATGATTAGGTAATTAAACCAGTAGACATGTTTGATAACTTTCAATCACAATTATACAGTAGTGATATTGTTTAATATTTTTATGGATACAAGCATTTATTCATCTTAGCTGTGCTAAGCTAACTGTAATCAGAATCATCAATCAAATGCAAAGTAATGGTTTGACATTTTATTCACACAATGTATAGAGTGAATTTTTGCTTTGGGGAGAATGGAACTTACAAAGATGTTTTCACAGGCCATAGCATGATACTAAATAGCATTCCAAAATACAAAGAATCTAAAACATATAACAAAAACAGGAATCACCTTGGTCTGTGGTGGTGTGGGGCAAGAGAAGCCCATTCTTGTTTCCTGGAAATCAATGTAAAGGTAAATTCATTTGGTACAAACAAATGATAATGAATAATAGAGCCATCTTAATCCATGATATTGACTAATAATATTCCTTGAGAAACCAAGAGATCAAATGAAGGTAAGAGGAACTTTACCAGCACAAAGACGACCAATAATACGAGTACCACCAATGGATGTCTTGACCACAGGGATAACATCCGTTAACTCAGCTTCAAATACACTGTATCAAGCGACATATTGACATAATTCACTTATAGAACTGTCATAGCAATTTCAAATAACTTGAAACCAAATACAAATGTAATGACTTAAATTCATCTAGGAATTTTTTAATAGTCTAAAAAAATGAAAACCTGTAGAAGCTTTCAGAACCACCAATGGCAACCAAACAATAGGCATTGGTGAGTTTAGAGAAGACTCCAACTTCACAAGAATTTTCAAACTGAAGTCCTGCAGGAATCCATATTCAATCAATATATTCAGTTAAAAAGTAAACAAGGATTTCGACCAAAGAATAACTAATAGGTATATTACACAACATATATGAACAACATCACTAAAAAGAGCAAATAAAACAATATAAGAAACATATGCGTCTCACTTACTAGTTGCCATGATTGAGAATGACAAAAATCTTTGACCCAAGTAATCAAATTGAAGATGCTACAGAAAGAGTTCTGATCAGAAAAACAAAATAAAGGACCCATGTTTCATAAGGAAATAAATACATACAGTGTTAACAATATTTACCTAATATCTAATAATTCATAACTCTCACTTACTCAATCTGTGGGTCACAGATCTTCACCTTAGACTCACTAAAATTTGGCACAAAGAGGTCAAAGTTGTTCAAACCAACACTCCCGGGACAGTCTAAGACTACAGAGTCACATATTAAGTAACTGAAACTAATAATAACCAAATTTGAATAGGAAAATAGATAAAGAGCAATGGTATCTCCATTAGAAACTTGATCATTAAAAAATGTCATACGTTTCTTTAGCAAAGTCCATGCTGAAATATACAATCCAACAACTCCCAGCAACCAATCCCCATTTGGCCATCTGAATTACACTAACATAAAAAGTTTCATTTTGAAATGCATCTTTATCTTAAATACATGAAATACAAGAAGATTTAGTTTTGGTTCACTTTCAATTCCGTAAAACATAACTCAAAATATTATTTAATAAAAAGTTGATTAACTGAGAATTCTCAAAACCAACAGGTTCTAAAAGTGCCTCAGATCCAAAAAGAATATCATCTTTGACAACCGTCTTATTTGAATATTGAAAAATAAAATAAAATCGCACCTTCCATAGAGCACTTAAAACAAAATCATCCGTAAATAAAAAAGTAAACAAACTGTTACAAAGATGCACTTGGTATATTAATCCCCAAACCCCGAACTTAAAATGTGCCACTAGTATGTGAAAAAAGGATTAATGTGGTTTGTGTTGACAATAAAAGCCCACGACTAGTTACACAATAAAGATAATAAAATTACATTAAAATCAAAACCCAAAAATCCCAAATAATCCATAACCTAATTTGGGTTTGGGGTGTCGGTTTCAAGTTCAGCACGAAGGGAGAGTTGGTTGTGGAATCATGAAGGGGAGAATACCTGGTGCGGCGTAAAAGGGTGGAAAGTCACGGCGGAGGCAGTGGCGGCGACGGAGGAGAAGTTGCCGGAGATGAAAATAGGGACTGAGAGGCAGAGAGAAAAATTAGGGTATTGTCTTTTGTACTACTTTGTACCGTGGGCTGCACGATTCATATTTTATTATTTACATTTATTTTAAATTTATGAATAAACAAAATTTAGGTTACAAAATTAACTTTTTTCTATAAGAGATAAAGATAATTGGTTTAAACAAGGTATTGGTGGTCTCTCAAAAACATTATGTCTTTTTTATTTTAATTTGTATTCAATTTTAGTCTCTAAATTTTTTTTTAAAAAAAGTAATTAGAATTAAATTTGTGTTTTTATAACATACAAAGAGTAAAATAAATAATTTTTTTAAAAAATTCAAATTAAAAGGTATGAAATTTTAAAGAAATTAATAACTTATTTAAGCTAAAACATTTTAAAGAATTAAAAATGCATGGTTTTTTAAATTATTTCATTTATAAAAAAAAAATCCAATTTATGTAAGGAGGATAAGATAACTTCATGTTTTAGTTTACCAATTAAATCAAATCTTTGAATAAAGTTTTAGATTATTTAAATTGTTTTAATTTTCTATTTTATGATTTTATTAATTATAAATTTAAATATATTAGTTTAAAATATTAACAAATAAAATAATAATAATATTTTTGCTAAAAATATATTAATAATATTAACATTATATATTAAAGAAAACATTTTTATTTTTTCATCATAAAGTTTTTTAGCAAAAATCAATTATCTTTTTTAAAATTAAATTTTTGTTTTGGTTAGAGTTAGTATTTTAAGTATTTGAAGTATTAAAAATCTTACATTAATTCTAAATTTATATTCACATTTAAGTATTTTAGTATCTATTCTTAAATACTAAGTGCCATACAGAAAGATTGATATGGCATATACAACATCATTTTAAATAAGTGGAGTAGTAAATATGAAATTTTTTCTTATGAAGAATTCTAAAATTTAGCTTCAAATCAATTTATCCAAATGCTTCAGAGGTATTTAAGGAACTAGAGGATAGAATGTGAATTAAGCAAATTAATACAGTAGAAACTTCTATTAGTTGTCTCTCATGTCTTCTTCCTTAACAATATCTATTAGATGAAGAAGTTCAAATGGAGTAGCAACTTGGTCGAGCACCCTACAACCTTTCGAAGCATTTGAAGCTTCTTGATCAACAAGTACTTATTGAGGTACTTCTCTTAAAATGATCCTGATTTCTTTTGGATCAAAGTGATGATAAAATAGTCCTAAATCCAGTCACTTTGACAAGAGGAATAACATTCATACCATGTCCTTCAATAAAGTCTTCAAATACTTCAATCACGTCCAACTTGTCTATAACTTTATCTATTGAGAATTCTCAAAACAAACAGTCAGGAGACCAAATTAATTTAAAAAATGCAGAGGATAGAATGAGAATTTGACAAATTGATTTGGGAGAAAATTTTAAGGTTCTTTGTCAGAGAAAGGAAATTTTTTTCACATTTACTACTCCACTTATTCAAAATAACATTATATTTGTTATATCAGTATTCTCTTATAGCATTTAATGTGGCATGTTAATATTCAGTTACCCTCTATTAATGTTATGAGTTTATGAACTAAAATGCTCGTGAAAGTTAGGGATTAATGTAAAATTTTTAATATTTCAAAAATTAATACCTAATTCTGATAAGTGTATAAAATAAGTGATTTGAGATGGTGACTTAAATATTTTTTTATGTTGAAAGTTGGATTATTTTGCTAAATTCCCTTCAAACTTAGAACATTTACAAATACATATATATATTTTTGAAATGAATGCAATTTTATGGTTTTAAGCTCTTTTTGATCTATTTTTGTAGTTAGAATCACAGAAGAAACATTTGAAGAAAATTAGAAAAAGACAGAGGAAGAGTAATTGAAGCATGAAGATTGCAGAAAAATCAGCTTCTAGAGGTTTCTCGCTGTAGTGAGACATTCTTGCTGTAGCGAGATACTTTTGGGTCGTTGTAGCGATAATCCTAATTGTAGCGAAAGACAACCAAAATGACCTAATTTCTATCTCAGTTTCTCGCTACAACGACAATACCTCGCTGTAGCGAGAGAAGCTCGAACAGACCAGTATAAAAAGCAATTTTTATGTTCAAGTGGGGAGACACTATTCTAAAACCAGTTATAGAGGTCCAAAAAGGCGCAAGGCAAAGAAATTGAGTAGGAATACTTGGTTTTTAATGTTTTATCTCTTTTGTATCTCCATTTTTGTTGATTTGGTTGCCATGAGCAACTAAATCTTGTATGGGATTAGATGTAAATCTTCAAACCTGATGTATTCTTAATAATCTATATAAATAGAGTTGTTTCTTTTTCATTTCTAATGATTTGGTGATCTCAATCTGTTTCAACGGTTGAATCTAGTTATTTAACGATTTTTGGAGTTCAAATATGAGTTGTATTTAGGAAGATATTATTTAGATCTATATTTGATTAAGATTACTCAATAACTGGTTGCTCTAGGAATAAATTTTAAGTTGTTGATTGCTTTTAAATTCTGATTTTAATGTTGGATAGTTTATTAACTGTTTGAGAAATCAACATTTGAGAAATTATCTTAGAAATATATTTTCGAGGAATTGAAATATATGATTTGTCTTATTTTGCATCACATTCATTGGAAATGATCGCTATATTTATTACTGGAATATAGAGGAGGAGATAGATAAAATTCAATCTCAGCTTTAAACTTGAATTTCACCATATTTTACTGTAGTGCTTTACATTTTAATTGTTGTTTAATGTTACATGAAAATCATTCACCAATTCTATTGTATATAAGCTCAATTAATTTGTATCTTATTAATTAATATATTTGAATTGCTCTCTAAGGACGATATCCCGATACTCTACTGATTATTACTTGCAACAGACTCGGTACACTTGTCATGTTTGAAGGAAAAAAATCAACAAATACTAACTATTTTAAGGACTAAAGTAAAGATTTAGTTATTTTAAAGACTAAAATAAAAGTTTAGTCATAAAGTTAAATTATAATTTAATAATAACTCATGAACGATAAATGAAGTAAGTAGAAAAAAATAATAGAGTGAAAATAGAATATAAATAAGGTAGAAAATATTAGATATTTTGATTTTAATTAATGAAAATAAAAAAAAATTATTTTACTTATTTAAATAAATAAGTAAAAGTGTGAAAATTAATTTAATTATATTAAAAAGTATTTTTTATCATAATACTTTTTAATAAAAAAACAATTTGTTAATATTATATGAATATTTTAAAAATAAAAATAAAATTATTTTGAAAGAACCCCCCTACTTTCCCTTGTATCGTCCCTTCCGTCTCACCTAAAAAAAATTTCCTACTCCTAAATTTCTAAACATCTAAACACATTCCACTTTTTCAATTCTCTATATTTTCTTTCATCTACTAACTCTTTCTGCTCATCCAAACGCGTCGTTGCTTTGTTTGAATGTTAGATGAAATAGAGAACAAAAAACTAAGAGAGAAAGAAATAAAAGGGCAAAAAAATAAAGTAAAATAGGGTAGAAAAATATTAGATATTTAGATGGGTTAAAATAAGAAGGAAAGAAATCATAAAAATTCTTTTTCATGAGTTAAAAAAAAAGTGTGAAAAAAATAATTGAATTGTATTAAAAGTATTTATAAAAAATTGTTTTTAAATTATATTTTTTGATAAAAAAAAATTTATTTTGTATATAGTTTTAATATTTCTCAAAATAAACTCCCCATTCACAGTTCATTTCTTTAGATTTTGATAAATTATTATATTTTTCTTGATAATTTTTTAATTTTATATAATTTTAATATTTAAAAAAAATTCCTGAAAACTAGCCAATTCCCCTCTCCCTGTGTACGGTTCCTTTCTTTAGATTTTGAGTTTTTTATTTTTTGGAAGTGGGACTCACAGTAAAACCTCCCTCCATGCAATCAAACAAGGAATGCTTTTGTCTTAGATTTACTTCCTTTCCCTTCCAATATCTGTCATCTAAAAAAAGTGAATTTTTTTTTACTCATTTTAAGTTACAAAAGTTAAATTTTCATGTTTGATATGAATAATTCTAAAAATGATTTCTAAAAAACTAACATTTTCATTAATGCTTTCTATTTAAATTTTAAAAGAATATTTTTATGGGAGAGGAAAAAATCTAAGATTTTGATTTAAAATAAAATGTTTTATAGAATATAAAAATATAATTATATTCTTTAGCTGTGTTTGAGAAATAAATTTAAAAGAAACAAGAAGACTTATTATATAGTATAAATTTTTATCTTGAGATTTTTTAAACATGTAAGTGATTTTTTATAAACCCTCTTAAATTCATCTTTACAAGGATTTTTTTTTATTAACTCTTATTCTCTTTTTCTTTTCCTCTTCCCTTATTCTTGGAACCTTTCACTTTTTTCTCTTTCTAAAATTTTAAACAAAGCTTTAACATTCTTAAATTTAAACCTAATTTATGTTATCTCTTTATTTTATTATCATTTATTCAAACTCATTAAAATTAAATCATTTAATTAAATAATATAATAGTCCATATAACTTATAAACTAACTCTTATAAAAGTTAATTTAGTGTGATAGTTATTAAGCAAACAATTGAATTAGTAAAAATTTATTTAAATTTTAAAATTTCTCACTTTTCTTTTTATCACAATAATTTTTATCTTTTTTTCTCAACCAAAAGAAAAAAAGATTAAGTTAAAGAAAAAGAAGAAAAAAAAAAAACAAAGTCTTCAAGATTTATGAAAAGTTCTTAAACATAACATCAAGTAAGCTTTTTTAACTCTTTTTATGTGAGAATTATTAAATTAAAGATCTTTAATTTTTTGAATTGCAAACTTAGAAGAAAATTACAAACACTATTCTGAAAAACAAGATAAGAACACATGCAATCTCGATGTATGACTTTCCTCCAATCAATTTGATAATTATATTGAGTCAACCAACAAGAGAGGAAAAAAAGTGTCATTTGATATATGAGTTTTTCTTTTTAGAATTTATATAGAAAAGCATCTTCTTATTGTAATTGAAGGTAAAATAAATAATAAAAAAAAAAGAGAACATGGTGAGC